GTCTCACATAGTTATCCATTTAAATAAATCAAAGCGATAGAGTGTCAAACTTATGCAGTGATGTGAGTGGTTGAGAAGAGGTAGCTGACAAAGCTGTATGGTAGTTTGCATTATGTAATGGGACTGCCTGGGACGATAAGGACAGCTGAAATAGGTGTCCAATTGAGGGGTTCCCTACATTCTAAGAAGAAATGGAATAACAAGAGCCTTTTTCATCATCATAATTAAAGGCTTTTTTTGGATTAATTAATTCTATACGCTATTTTAGTTTTTTTTTAAGACTTATTCTATTATATGTATATATATATATTATAAAGTTATCAAACTCATAAAATTATAAAAATAAAAATATTACTAGGATTGCATTAAACTTTTAATAATAATGTGATTTTCAAATTAATGTGGAATGATTAATTAATTACACAATCTTTTAATGAATTATGAGAATTTTTTTTGTAATTTAAAATTACAATAAAAGAATATAAATAAATCAATTGTTAAATAATATATTCTTGTTAAAATAAAAAAATAAATATAATTTTTAAAGAATGAAGTTGATAATTTAATATTAGAAGTTATGTTTTTTTCCTACCTAACCTTTTAAAAGATTGTTCCAATCTGATTTGTTTTATTGAAGAATAATTGCATGACAACATAATATAGAGGTTTAAATAAAATTAAAAGTGAAAATGTACATGAAGAGGAAAAATTGTAGTAAATTAGAAAGAAAAATAAAAATATATTTGGTACTTGGTAGAAGATTTGATGTCTTAGTGGTAAAATAAAAAATTAATTTAATTTTTATTAATTTTACATTATCACATGATCATGATTGAAAATTTATATCAAATCTCTTAATTTTAAAAATTTGTAAATAATGATTGATAAATATAATAAATGGATAAATAACAATGTAATTTTAATCTATTTTAAATTATAATAACGCATAAACTTAAATTACAAAACTACATTACAAAAATTAACAATTTTAATTCGAGAGAAACACCTTAATTTATTTAATATTAATATATGTAGAAAAAATTTTAAAACTTAAGTACCCCTCAAGCTTCAACGAAGATCTGCCTCATTTACCTTCGATCCACTCATTTTAATCCAAGGCACACACGTATAGCTCTAATTTCAATGATGAAAGATTGGCCTACTTTCATATTTAAAAGGTCTTACGGTATGTTTGGTTGGAGGAATGGCAATTCGTTTCCATTTTTTCATAGTGCATAGTTTTTCAAAAGTGGTTCACAAAGTCATTATTCTGCAGAATAATCGTTCCAAGTCTATTCTTCAAAAACATTGAATACTCATTCCGAGCACTCCCCTCAAAATGGCTATTCTTCGATGGCAACGAATAGGTAGCACTCTTTTTAGGACGATTTTATCCTTCTTTCCCATCTTTTCATTTTTTTTTTCTCTCTATTTTTTCCTTTATTTCCTTTATGTTTCTTTGTTACTTCTCTAGATTTTTGGTATTGTTGGGGGATCTTTTTTATTTATTGAGTAAGTTATTTTTTATTTGTGAAAATTTTGTTGAGATTTGTTGGGTTTTGTCATAAATTTATTAACTTTTGAAGTGTAAGATTTATATTGGTTAATTTAGGTTTGATGTGTATTAAGATTTATATATAATTTGATTGATGTTTTATATTTAATGTTTTTAGATTTTAATAATAATTATAGAAATTAAAATTATTTTATGTTGATTTGAAGTTATAATTTATATATTACTAAGAGCTATCTCATTTTGAAGTAATTTATATATTATTAAGATTTCTATTTGTTTTGAAATAATTTATATATTTGATAGTTTATTAAAATTTATAAATTACTAATTATTGAAATATTATGATTTTATTGTATTAATCAAACTTAATATAAATAAATTAAATTGTTCTATTTTATTTTTTTATAATCTATTTGTGAATATGTGTTATGAATGTGGGTTTAGGTAGATGTATATTCTGTAATAAATATGATTTTTTATTCATTTTCATCGTACTAACTTGCTTTATTTTTCATTCCACCTACTTTGTAATTAGAAAAAGTTTCATACATAGAAAGCTTCGATTAGAGAAATTCTTCGCAAAACTGATGAAATTGTATTAAGAAGACCAAGATCAAAAGTAAAATTTTGTTATTAAAAGTAATAATATTTTGTTGTGAATGTGTTGTCTTGTAGTATGTATGATAAATTTTTGCAAGATCTTTTGTGCCACTGATAGACTATTTATTAAAGTAGACCAATAATTATCTTAAACTATCATTTAGATAATTTTGTTTAGTATAGCAATAATAACTCATATGGTTAGTCAATAAAAAGGTTTAATACTTTATATAACTTTAAAATACATGCATCAATTAAGCTATGATGTTTGACAAATTTAAGATAGTAAATAGATATTTATTTTTTTGGATATATTTTTGTTTGCTTGAATTAAATGTTCAATTTATTGTCAACAACTTATTATATTCTTTTTTATTATATTAGGAAAAATGTCAATGGGTTGAGTCAGATGATAATTTTCCTCAACGAGCTTGAAACAATATTTTGACTAATCAATTGAAAGACTTATTGTCCAAGGAGAGAGAATTGAGAATGAAAAAGCATGAAGTTGATAACATCATAGAGTGTAAAGGTATGGAGTGGAGGTGGATCACAGCTCTGATTTAGAATGTTCTTATTGACAATGTATGGAGCACTCCTCAATGGCAAAACATCTTCGCCAAAACCAAACAAGATTGTTGGACACAAAAAGAAGGAAGTATTATGAAGCACACAAGTAGCTTGGTTGCTTTTCCTGTTCGTAAAAAAATAATGGTATTATCTTATTCACGAGTTATTTTTATCATCAAATGTCAATAAATTATATAAATTATATTGTTACATATTTCATTGAATGTATCTAAACAAATGTAGTCACTTGAGTTGCAACGAGAACCCACATTTACAAAACTTTTCAATTGCACTCACAGACGTTTTTCATTGACAACAAGTAAAAAATTGTTAGTGTATGTGACTTTTAAATGATTGAATAATGATGAAATTGCTGCCTTGCTTTATTGAAATTAATAATATCTTGTGTGTTTTGTGATGTAAAGACTTTGTTAAAAGTAAAAATTGTTGCTTATTTTGCTTTATACTTTTGGTCGTATATTATGATTGTTGCTTAACTATCTTTATAGTATATTGCGATGAGATGATATTTATGAAATGTGAAAACTATTGCATTTTTTGAATTGTGATGATGATTGTATATTATCACTGTTGATCAACTATCATTACCGTAGATTATGTATTTTGCATTGTGATGATTGTTATGTATTGTGATTATTGATGAACTATATATGTTAATAGTATATTACAATAACTACTTATTTGTGAAAGGTTTCTGTGTATTAACTACATTAGAACACATTTGTAAAAGACGAAAATTATTAAGTATTTTGGTTTGTGATTTTGTTTATGTATTATGATTGTTAATGAAGTATATAGTGAAGTAATTGAAAGCAAAGATTTGTAGGAAATTCTATATTGAACTAGATAATTTGGCATATATTGAAATGCAATGAATTTGTAAAATGTGAAAATTACACTTTAAGTTGTGAATTGTTTAAATCTGTGATATTTTAGTGGACTATACAAGTCCTATAGTAATTATTATTGTTTTAAACTTTTTATAGGAAAACTATGCTGTTACCTTCTCTTAGAAATACAATAAAAACTATTCCAATCATTCAAATTTCGATCCATAAGTATAGAATAAAGTTATTGAAGGAGTTGAAACTACATGGACTCATATATATGGCTTTGGAACAACAAATAGATCAGGGTGTCCTTCACTCAACTCAATCCACTATTAGAGTAAGATCATCTAACTCTCTTTGTGGTTCATCATCTGTACCTCATCAAGCTCGTTAGCTTCAGATAAAAGAACAAATTGATGAGTTGAAGATTGAGTTAAGAGCTAAGCTTAGGTCATTCATGGATCAGATGATGAAGTTATGGGGTCTAGACAAACTCTACCATCGCAATATTCTAGACCTGATGATAGCACCAAAGATTTTGGATCCAGAGGTGCAACAGTAGCAAAATAACATTTTTTGTTGGATTTGTATAAGGTATTTGATGGATTGATGCTATAGATTTTTAATGGATGGATATTTTATGATGTATTACAGATGTTTTGGATATTCGATGGATGTTTTACGATGTATTTGATGAATGTTTTTTGGATTTGATATTTTAATTAATAATAATAGCATATTTAAATAATTACAAATGTTTAAATTGAAGATACAAAGTTTGAAAATAATTACAAGTTTTTTGAATAATTATAAACGTTTTTATTTAAATATTGATGAAATTGTACTTTTATCGATAGAATTTCATTATTACTGACATAATTTTTATCATTATCGATGGATTTACTGATGGAAAAAACCATTTTGTGACCATTTTCATGGTTGTTACCGACGGATTTATTGATATAATTTTACTATTACCAACAGAAGTTTTTTATTATCAATGGATTTAACAACGAATTTACTGATGGAAGATTTCGTAGCTAATTACTGACAAAAAGTTTTGTAACTAAAACCGTTGGTAATTACCGATGGATTTTACCAACAAAATAGCATTACCGATATAGCTAGCATCGACAAAATTTTTCCATAGCTAAAACCGTCACTATTACTGTTACCAACAAATTTTCAGTTTTTACCAACAAAAAATTCTGTCGGTAAAGGCAAATTTTAAAGGTAGTAAGAGGTAGAGAAATTAGAGAGAGATTTCAATTGATATAACTTGTTGCATGTTAATTTGCATAGAACTATGAGAATTATTGTGATACATACAACATAGATTTTTATATTGCAAGTAATGCATAAAATATAAGTCATATTTGTAATACATCAAAGTAACTTTATGTTTAAAGCTTCAAGCTGGGTCCAACGGATTCAGTAAATTAAAATAGAATCAGGTACTTTTTTCACCCAAAAATACGATTGAGAGTGACAGCCAATCTAACTCCCCCTTGAGCTAACCTCCAGTTAACAATTGGTAATCGGGAGAGAAAATAGTCATCTGCAAGCAGCTTATATATTATTATTTCTCCTCTCATGAGAAATAAATAAACATCCAATATACCTAACAATTTCAAGGAAGAAAAAGCTTTAAGCTTACCTTCAAGTACTGATTCTTCTTTGACACCTTTATATGCCCAATCACATGCCATTTTGATACCTTCATATGCAAATCTACGTGCAGCATTATATTAAAAAGACAAATCAAATAAGTCTAGTGATAAATCTTCAAATATGAAAAGAAATTAACGACAATTCAACTGTTCATATTTTATATATCCTACCAAACCATTGTTAAGAGACATACATATCAGGGCAAGCCGTCCTATTTAGACTGCAGCTCTCCCATCTTTTGACTTGATCTGCCCATTCAGTCTATTTCCCAATCATCAAAGAGAAAAAAAAATGTGAATCTAAAACAAATTAGAAATTAGAATTGATGAATTAACAACTGAATATGATGCTATATCGGTTTGTGAAAAACTGGCTTAGAAAAGATACCGAAATATTTTGTTGAATTGCATCAACCATGGCATCTACATTTGAATCATAGAACCTTTCTTCTGCTGTCTCTATTATATTGCTATCCCAAACCTGTATTCTTTGACATTAATGCACAACACACATCACTTCCAAAAGGCCAATGAACAAGTTAAAGTTAGGCTTACATGGTGAAGAACTTCCTTTCTTGTATACCAACGTACATCGATTGTGTTGCCTCCCTTATCTGATGCAAAACCCACATGTAAAGGCTGCAACGGACAAAATATTGTTTATGAAAGTGGACATTAGATCTTTCTATTTGTGTATCCATGTCTTATATATTTTGTGTTTAATATAAATGAAATACGAAAATTATTGTATAATAATGTGTTTATTGTAAGAACATAAAATACATTTTTTTTCCACCAAACTCATGTACAATTTTTGATAAAATCTTAAATTATATCACTTTTTCATTTTTGCATTGTTTTTATATTGTATTTTTATATCATATTTAAAATTAAGATGTTTAATGGAAATTAAATTTCTCAAATTAGTATGAACAACATTTTACAATGCAATATTAGGTAAAATACGGTTGGTCTCTTTTTTCTGGATTGGGACCATACCTGATGGATGTCTCCCATAAAATGAGAAAGGAAGAGAAGTGCTTCCGTAAGATTATCTGATAGTTGTTGATTTCATAATATAAAAGCAGAATTTAGTCAGCAAACTGGGCAAGTTACTAGGAAAAAAAAAAGGAAGAAATTAATGATAAAAAAACAAAAGAAAAGGATAGGAAAAACAGGGAATGCGGAGAATGTACATTCAGCTTCACCAGACGCAGAGTTGTAGCTAAGAAGCTGGGAGGTGTAATTGTTAATTGCCCCGGCAACACACCTCCCTATTTCTCCATCTTCATCTTTGCAGTCCCCTGAGGATAAAGAAAAAACGAAAAAGTAGCTGTTTGGTATTAAAACTGGTTTGTTATCATCTAATCTTCAAGATTATGCTACTGTGTTCTAAAAGTAACATTGAGGATTTAAGTTTTGAGGGAATAAAATTTGATTACGAAAGATTAATTCTAATCATTTTTTTCTCCTTCCGTCATAAAATATTTGGACTGTATTAATTTTTACAAAATTGTTAAAAAGTTTTGATTTAAATATATTTAATATTAAAATTAATTTTATAAAAAATTAAATTTTTATAATTTTTAATGTTAAAAAATAAAATAAAATTTTAAAATATAAAAAATAAAAATTTTTAATATTCAAATAAAAAATTTTAAATAAAAAAATAAAACAGAGGGATTAACTCTTTAACTAGTACTCCCTTCGTCTCCTAAGTACTATCTTATTTGCATATTTTAATTGTCCCAAATTAATGTCTCATTTTTTAAAATAAAAACAAAAATCTTACTCTCCTTTTCTTTATGATGGGACCCAGATGGCCGCGTCTTTTGGATCCACCCTTCCTTGCCAACCTCGGGAAACTAGCACAGAATGCTATTGTCATGGTCCCCACTTAAATCAGGGATTTTCAAGACAGGAACCCAACTCGGACCATGCACTAATCCAGTACACTCACGAACTCGCTCTCGGCTCCTTACTTTTTCTTTTTACTCTTAACTATAACTACAAATTATTTTTTTTTTCTTTTATAAAAAAATGTAATTCAAGTAAAAATACATAATAATCAATGAAAGTCCTAATTCAACAAAATATTTTTTAATTAAACTTTGCGCAAAATCAAAATCAGACGCTATATATGGGATGGGATGAAAAGAACGAATTGTATCATAGCATTTCGCTATCAGATTCAAGAACTTGTGTCAGCTGAAATGAGAATGCCCTCATTTTAAAAATAAACGACAAAAACATACGGAACCAGATTCCAAACGCAGGTATTTGGTGAGACCAAGAATTCAAAATTATCTCAACTTGGCTGAAACTTATGGGGCTCATTGCATAAATAGATATGCGCAACCCTCATTTCTAAATTTTTGACAAATTAGGCAATCTGTTATATCATATATGTGTTCACGTACGTTGTGGTAGCTAATTTCTAGCTAGCATTAATGGCAATTCCCAGTCCAGTTTCTCTGCTAACAGTCTTTATATGGAAGACTACAAATTTCTCCATAAACAACTCAGAAACAGAAGAAACGACAGAAGATGGGAGTGAAAGCTTACTTTTGTACTGGTAAGTGCAAGTATCAGGGGTATCAAGGAAATGAAGAGCAGGTGACCAGCGGTAACGGAACTTAACTTGATCTGCCCATGAACACACACTCCCAAGATCATTTTCTGCCCACTTCGGCAACAGTTGCTTCACAGCATCTGCTGCTGCTTCACTCAAGCGAGACTACAGAAAACAAATGATTTTTAGTCACGAGCAGCAACCCAAAATAAACAGATATAACACTATATATCACATGAAAGGATGCAAGACAAATGCGTCAAAACCTGAGCAATTCTACAAATTATGGAATGGCCCTCAGTTCCCCAACCATATGTTGGTGGAAGCGTGGAAAGCATAAATGATAACAAAACTAACATCTTCATTTTACAGTCCTCCCTTTTCAATCTCCTACTCAACACTGTGCTGATGCTTTGCTTCTTTTTATAACTAGCAACAGCAATAGATGGCGTAAAATAGGAATGAAAATAACAATAGCTTTACGGGGAAGGTGTGAACTGTATGAAAAACCTACTTTTTGTCTGGTGCTATGTTTCAATATATTTATATATGTGTGTCTTATGTTTATGTTTACTTTCATTTCTGACAAATTAGTTGTCTGGTTTGGAATAAAGCTGCGTCTCTATTGAATATACGTTCACACCTGCTCAAATTCATTGTTGACTAATATGACATTATGTTATAAATATAATGCCCAACATTCTGGTCATTTTAATACAAAATTCATGTCGTTCAGACTTCATATAAACAAAACAAAGTAACTTTTACAGGAGTAATCAAGTAACCATATATAAAATATATCAATATTTTTCTAAAAGGAAATGAAGGGTATCATCGTAAGGAGTTTGAGGAGTTGGTGCCAACAATATATATATCCCTCAACGCATATAGTTTAATATGCTTGACCAACGTGGTTGGAAGGGCAAGGAACTTGAAATGGAAACAAATCTGAAGTTCTAATCTGGTGTTTATAGTTTGGACGAAGAATCTTTCTATACATATGTTTTTCCTTTTTGCTGGAAAAGGAAGAATCTATATTTAACGGAATGAACAGATTCCAAGGTGAATTATGTAAGGTTACTAATGTTGAACTTTTGAATATAGTTGGCAGATTGCATGAACTGTGACCAGCTTAAACTTACCACGGGAAGAAAAGTTTCAATTAAAATAATTGCATCTATAATTGAGAATTGTATGAAAAATTCCTAGTACCTCTGGCAATGAGATTTTGGGTGTTGGAATTTTATGAGATAAAAAAATAATTATAAAGGAAGAATAATGTATTAGTAATAAAAATTAAAAATTATATATATATATATATATAATATGAGTGTCATTAGATTTAAAATATGTAAAAAAATATAATCAAAATTATTATTTAGTTAAGAGTAAAAAAAAATAACCCAGAATAGATATCAGTCATTAAAAATTCAAAAAATTTCACAAATTTTATTTGTGGAATTTGAAATGAGAAATTTTTGGTCTTTCAAAATCTTTTATTTAAATATCAAGAATTTTGACAATAAAAAATTATCTTATACACCAAGGATATAGTTTTAAACTACGAACACATAACAACTATTTATGGTTTGTGAAATTTAAAAATTTTGATGTATAATAAATTAAATAATAATCCACTCTTTTATCCAGATACACCCTTAAAAATAGAAATTTTATGTATCTTATTCCAAATATTTGAATAACTAAATTTTTTGCATTCTTTTATCATTTTCCTAACTCATCAAATTTCAGAATATCCGGTGCATATTTTGAGTTAACCTAGTTGTCTAACTGTGGGCTTTTGGGTCATTTGTTGGAGTACAATAACGGGCTATGGCCACTTGAATTTAAATGATGCACAACTTCTGGTAAAGTTTTGACTCGTGGTAGACAATGAAACGGGTCAAATTTATGTTGTTTTTGGTTGGTGGGCTGATTTTTTGGACCCTGTTACCTGATTACAAATATGAAAATTTTTCTTACTCATAGAGAGTCTCAGACCGCGACGAATAATTCTTAAAAATAAGAGTTTCATCAAGTGAGCAAATCTTAAAATTTTAAACAATTTTTTACAAAACTTAAATTATATCTAAAACTCTCTTAATAGTATACTTGCCATGTGTAATGAAATTTTTAATAAAATTTAAAATGAAATGAAATTAATTAATTATGCTCAAAATTTCTAAATTTTAAACATAATGTATGAAATTAAATTTATAAAAATTTTATACTAAGTAAATAAGCAATTCTTAATACTTTGACATACACGATACTTTAATTTAATAAATCTTAACATATTAATATTATATGTAATATATAGTTCTTTTCGTAACTCTATAATAAAATAAAAAAAATTATTCAAAACTTAAAAAAAATTGAAAAAGACGGTATAATTGAAAATGATGATATACAATTAGTAATATTATAGCTAATTAGCTATTACCCACTTAATCTAGATCCAATATTACTAACAACCTAATATATATATATATATAACTATATATATACACACACACACATATAAATATACAAAAAAAAGTATTTTTCACAATATTTATGTTCTTACAAAGTTTTATATATTTTATAACATAACGTACAAACCATTAAGCTAAGATGTGCATATCAATGATTTATTATATTATTTATTTTAACATATTTAATGTTAAGAGATTATATAATTTATTTTAAATTATATTATAATATATTATTATAATATAATAAATCATTATAATAAAATATACAGGCTAATGACATTTTATATTATTTATTCTAAATCACATAATATATATTTAAAGTTAAAAAATAAAGCCTTTATTATAAATAACATGTACAAGATTATATAAAATACTATTAATATAATGTACAAATCATTTATGCATGTCAAGATAATTTTATGTCTTAATTGAGTTCGAGCCACTTGTGTAAGATTGATTTAACAAATTTCATTAATCATGTTACCGGATTTCACTACAAGAAACTAGAAGATTAGTGGTAATTTTATAGCTATGTTTCAATTATAAATACCGCTAGTTTTTGTATTTTTATAAAACTTAATATGTTTTTTTATCAAAACACCACTAAATATTCAAATAGTTATGTTTGTACTTATAAACGCCACCCAAGATAAAAATTAACAGCATTTATTAACTAAAATACCTTGAATAATCTTGTCATAAACATAGATAGGGGATTACTGAAGATATTTTTGACAAATAATGCCTTAAATAATGCCTTAAATAATCCCTTCATAAAAAATATAGACGATTATTAAAGGTATTTTTGGTCAAAAATACCTTCAATAATTTTGTTAAAAAATTAGAGAAGATTATTGAAGGTGTTTTTAATAAAAAAAATACCTTCAATAAATATCCTATCAAATTTTAAGGATCATATAGTTGTTAACTATAAAGTCATAGGTTCGATCCCTCATTTTAGTATTTTTTGGGTTTTTGAATGTATTATTTATAAAAGATTATTCAAGGCATTTTTTGGTTAAAAATACTTTCAATAATCCATTTAAAAAATTTTTGAGAGAGAATATTGAAGGCATTTTCAACAAAAAAACACCTTCAATAATCTATAAAAAAATTTTGAAATGAATTCTTGAATGCATTTTTGGCCCAAAGCACCTTCAATAATCCACTTAATAAATTTTTATGAGAGATTATTGAAGGTGATTTTTGTTAAAAACGCTTTCAACGATCCATACAAAAAATTTAAAACGGATTCTTGAAGGCATTTTTAGCTCAAAACGCTTTTAATAATCCATTCAATAAATTTTTATAAAGGATTATTGAAAGCAGTTTTGGTCAAAAATTCATTCAATAACATTTTGTTAAGAATTATTCAAGACATTTTTTAGCTAAAAACGCCTTCAGTAATCTCATCAAAAAAGTTTTGGCTTAATTATATATGTGAAATCAATTGTAAGTTTATACCTAACAAACATTTGGTTTATATATGAGATACTACGAATTACATTTTAGAAGTTACATTATGAACATTATTTTATTTTAATAAATTGATCATACATTCGAATTTAAAACTGATAATATTGCCATATAAATATATTTTTCTCAAATAATCATACTGAATATATGTGTATTCATATAAAACAAATATATACCAATAATATTAAACCAATACCCCAATCTATAAACTTAAATTATCCATACAATATGACATGTTAAAAACATTATAACAAATAATCATCATATATTTACACTTAAACAACAATGTCTAACCTCAAGGTTAGCAATAAATGATAATACATACTCACATCACTCTTTACGGACTTCAGCAAGTTCTTCACCATGAAGTTTTCTTTACTCTCCTATTAAAAAAAAATCAGAAGTAAATGTTAATAAACGAGAACATAATTATGTGTTATCTTGTTATTTTGACAAAAATGTCTTAATTTTAATATTTAAAAATTAATTTTCTGAATTTTTCCTTATCATAAAAAACATATTGTTATTTTTAATTGTTTGCTTGAAAAATAAATGAGAACATTGCATATTGAAAAATCCCTAAAAATATTCTAACACTTTAGTAATATTAAAATGAACTTTTTCATCTAAGGAGTTCTTAAGAATCACTACACAGAGTTTTCAAGAATCCTATCTTTGACAATTCATATTTATCTTCAATATTTATACTTACCAATCAAATTATAAAAAATGATATCTATAATTTAAAATAAAATAATATTTTCTAAAAATTCATTTCCTAAACTATTTATTTAAAAAACAAGAAATATTTATTGAAAGTTATTCTAAATGCTCCAATACATTAGTTGCATTTTAAATAATTTTTCTTACCAAGAGATTCATAAAAAATTACTACTCAAACTTCTTTTGAATCTCATCCTCTAAGACTTAATTTACTTTTATAATTGGTATATATAAAATATGATACACATGGATTAATTTATGATACTCTTGCATTTATGAAAGCTATTTTTTAGAAGTGAAAAGTAAACGAGAATTTTTTGTATTGAGAATCATTCTAAATATTTTAATTTTTTTGTAATATTTTTAGAAAAATTCTCATTTAGGGAATTCTCGATAATCACTACTTGAATTTTTTGGAGTCCCATCATCAGAAACTTGCGATACTTTCAAGATTATGTAATACAAATGATAAAGTAGAATGTGTACACGAAAGTTTTTTTTTAATTATATTTTTTATTACATATTATATATATTTAAAAGACATATTACTTATTTTTCTTATGTTATATTTTTTCATTATTCGTTTTAATTTTGTCTTAATTACCTAATATTTAACAATCATTATTATTAAAAGTTTTTAAGGGAACAAAGCAAATAAAATTTTTTATTGAAAATTTTTCTAGATATCTCAATATTTTGGTAGTTGAAAAAAACTTTCTCACATAGAGATTTCTTAGAAACTTTTACTTAGACTTCCTTAGAATCATATCCTTGGAGATTTCATTTACTTTTTTCCTTTATTATGTAATTATTATTCGAATTCTAATTTTTAATTTCTATTATTATTTTTATTAATTAATATTTAATGAAAAGTAAAAATAGTTAATCATAATATTCAAGTATCATTGTATTAATTTTATTACTAAAAGAGTCATTATACATTATTTTATCATCATCTAATATAATTTTAGGAAAATAAATGAATAATAACAAAAAAATTTTGTATTGAATACTTCTTTAAATACTCCATTACTTTGGTAACATTTTTTTAAAAAAATATTTTCACCTAAAAATTTTAAGAAATTACTATTTAGACTTCCTTAAAATCTCATCATTAGAGATTTTCATTACCACTGCTACTATTATTATTATTATTATTTGGCATGAA